AAACTAAGTATAGGCCATTGTATATATATATATATATATATATATATATATATATATATATATGTGTGTGTGTGTGTGTGTGTGTGTGTGTGTGTGTGTGTGTGTGTGTGTGTGTGTGTGTGTGTGTGTGTGTGTGTGTGTGTGTGTGTGTGTGTGTGTGTGTGTGTGTGTGTGTGTGTGTGTGTGTGTGTGTGTGTGTGTGTGTGTGTGTGTGTGTGTGTGTGTTATACTGTAGTATATGTGGCATATATTTAAAGACCAGTGAAAAACGGAAACTTTAAGTCACATCGAAAGCAACGACAATCAACTCATTGAACACTACAGTTAAACGACAAACACTTATTGAATAAACAAAAATTGCCTAAATTTTTGCCTAAAAAATGTGTTCAACATTTGACAGTCAAGTCCTAAACATGTCAAACATATTTAACTTTATGTTATTTATATATATATTGTTCATTTGTTTTTACGTTAGAGAAAAAGCATACCAAAAATACTAAAGAAAATAAATATAAATTGTTATAAATTTGAAATTTAAATTATATTCTAACCTTAAACACATCACATAGACTACATCAATATGTTTTAGTTGTTTTGTTTGATTTTTCAAATAATATTCAACATATATAAGTATACTGTATATGTTATTAACATAATTCAAACTAAAATCAATGAATCCATTTTCTCAATGTACTGTACTATCTATATAATCATTTATAATTTTACGTGTAATTGGCCTGGATAAACTAGAAAAAATGTTTAGAATATCAATATTACAATTTTATTACGTTAACAAAATAATATATTATATTATAGTTAATAATTTGAGTCGAAATTTATATTTTTATTCAATTTTTTAAGTAAATATGATTTTATATAAAACTAGTTGAGAATGCTAGAAAGCATTGCCCAGAAACAAATTCCAATGACGTAAATTACTTAATATAAATATTATAATATTTACATATGCATTACTAAAATAATTATTGAAATAATTATTAGCCCATAAATCATATTGTAACAAAAATATTTATTGCTAATAACCACTAGTTAATCAATCAATAGTTAACGAGTCATAATATAATTAAAATATAAGTTATTATCTTATACCACAAATGAATTACTAAATTCATACCAATCAAAATTTAAAAAAAAATAAATGTCGATCATTTTGACTATATTTATAGCAAAATGAGGCAATACTTCTAAAGACAATCCTATACTCCATTTTAAAGCTTTATATGAATTTTTAATTTTCTATTTTTTACACTTTAGCCGTCAAAATGGTTATTTCGGTTAGAACATGAAAAATAAGGTATAGGAGATCGGCATCAAAAAAAACCTATCTGTTGTTCCTAAAAAGACAGGTCATTTTTGATGCTGATCTCCTATACCTTATTTTTCATGATCTAACCGAATCTAAAATCAGAATTTCAAAATTAACAAAATGAAATGCTAGACACACACACATACATACACACACATACACACACACACACACACACACACATACATACACATACATACATACATACATACATACATACACACACACATACACATACATACATACATAAATACATACATACATACATACATACATACACACACACACACACATACATACACATACACACATACATACACATACATACATACATACATACACACACACATACACATACACATACACATACACATACACATACACACACACACACATACATACATACACATACATACATACATACACACACACATATATATATTGTGACCCTAGATGGCCCACAGATCGCACACACACACATTCACAACATTTCAACCAACCCTTCTTTCTCATTGGACGACCCTTCAGTCCGTCCACTACTTAAGTGGACGTCAGTTCACTTTCTCTCTCTCTCTCACAACAGCTCTCTTCACTCTTCAATTCAGTCACCACTTCTCACTGTTTTCTTGACATTCGCTTGAATTTGAATCAAGCATTTTGACCAAAAACTGAAACACATCACATTTTTTATAACCAATTTTTATTTGTATTTTTTTAAATTTATTTTAAAACAATAAATTATTTTACCGATCAATTGGTTGTGTCCACTCATTCATTCATCTCATCCACGGTCACAACTTGGGGCAGTCTTCAAGAATCGAACCACTTCACGACTGAAAAATTCAAACATCAACTCAATTCAACTCAAGTGAACTCAAGAAAACACGTGAACCTCAACAACAATGGCTCCAAGAAAAAACAACAGAAAAAGTCGCAGAAACCAATTGAACGACACAACGAACACCATTGATGCAGACATGGCGTCGCCAACAGCATTAACTTCCGCTTCCGGTTCACATGGACTTCAAACACGTATACAACAGAGATGAAATGCTAGCGCCAACGCCATACAGCACATGGTCTTCAACAACGACGATGATGAGGACAATCAATCGTATCACAGCAGATCCAGAAACACTGGCCGACTCTGCGACACATTCTCAGGCAGCGATCCATTGGTCAAAGCCGATGATTGGTTGGCTCTCTTCACGTTAGTCACACGTGGTTTCTCAGATGACGACCGCATCACAGCACTTGGACGCCATGTCACAGGAGAGGCGATGAGATTTCTGGTGCGTGAAATTGCACCACAAGCCGACTCAATAACATGGGCTGAAGTCAAAGAGAAGATGATGAACCGGTTCGCAACGGATGCACCAAAAACAGTTGGCCTTCATCACATCAAGCATGAAGAGGATCCGCTGGATCTCATTTGGTTCACCACACATGTCAATGGCAGACAAGCGAAGGCATTCCTTGACTCTGGCTCTACAATGAGCGCCATCTCCAAATCGGCCGCTGATAGGATGGGCTTGCAGTGGGACACCCAGCGTTCAATTGCCATCAGACATGTGGACGGCACCGACCGTACCCTTGGACTCGTTGAAGCAATCATTGAATTGCAAAACAAGACATTCCATTTCGCCATTCAAGTGTTGGAACATCTGGAGCACGACATGCTCATTGGCCTCGACTTGGCCAAAGCCGCTGCTCTGGTTGTCAACTTCGGCACAATGGTTCAAAACAAAACATTTTCTCTTCACCAACTCAAGACACCAACGCCCGCACCGAGAACGTCCAAACAATCAATCAAAAACATTGTCGACACAACGGAAGTCGTATCTCAATCAATTGTTAGATCTGTCAAAGAGATTGAAAGAGAGATTCAAATCAACAAAAGTTTCACTCAGCCGACTCACCAACAGATCTCACAAATCACCGACAACTCATCATAAAACTTTCATCTGCGACAGCACAGGCTTCACACCGAAAATTTTGCACTTCGGGTTTTCATCAGCCCTTCCAACTGATGTCACACTTGAAGAGGCCAGAAATCAGGCGACATTGAAGTCCAGAGCGCTGCCAAACAAAAGAAATGAGAAGAATGAAAAACAGATGAACAATCAAACCTTTGACATTTCAGATCATCAACAAAAAGTTGTCACAGAACTGACACCACGTTTTTGGGATCCTTATGTTGTCCTGGAAAAGCTCGGAAATGAAAGTCTGCGATTGAATCACATCGACATAAACACTGGTGTTATTGTGCGATCATTCACAACACATTCATCAAGAGTGGTTCCAAACATCCCCCGAGATGACAACATTTTGATCAACAATCAGCCGATTCACTCATCTGTATCCAACACTTCCACCACATCCTCAACAAAATTGACATCTCATGCAAACACATCAACAACAAAGTCAACAGATGTTTATTCAAAACAAAAACAGGAAAAATGTGATTCATTTTCAAAAATGGTGATCACATGTCAAACAAGCGCATCATTTGAAAAAAATTTGGATCAATCAAAGAACCAGATTAGACGCCATACGCTAGCGGTCGGCGGATGTGACCCTAGATGGCCCACAGATCACATACACATTCACAACATTTCAACCAACCCTTCTTTCTCATTGGACGACCCTTCAGTCCGTCCACTACTTAAGTGGACGTCAGTTCACTTTCTCTCTCTCTCTCACAACAGCTCTCTTCACTCTTCAATTCAGTCACCACTTCTCACTGTTTTCTTGACATTCGCTTGAATTTGAATCATGCATTTTGACCAAAAACTGAAACACATCACATTTTTTATAACCAATTTTTATTTGTATTTTTTAAAATTTATTTTAAAACAATAAATTGTTTTACCGATCAATTGGTTGTGTCCACTCATTCATTCATCTCATCCACGGTCACAATATATATATATATATATATATATATATATATATATATATATACATACATACATACATTCCAGAATACAATGTTTTTTCAAAGTTTGTTTGAATATAATGCATATACTGTACACCTCTCTATATACTGTATAATGTGCTGTACTTTACTTTACTATTGATTTTAAACAACAAAAATTAAAGTCTTGATTTGTTTTCCTAATTTACTCTTTTATTATCACTTGTTTCTCACAATTTAAATTGAAATCTCATTAAAAATAAAAAAATAATTTACCGGTAATGTCATTCATTATCAAATAATTGATTCTTTATTTTTTAAAAAAAATTACAGTAGAATTCAATTTCAAAAATAAAACAAAATTAATTTAAGAGTAAAATTTATAAAACAAATGAATTCTAGTCATTAATAAAAACTTTGGTATATTTACATAGTATTGAGGAAAAAAACAATTCTAAAAATAACTATAAAATTGCATTTTTTATTAAATAGCAAAAAACATATAAATATTTATAGTTTGATTAATAAAAATGCAAATGAAATAAAAAATTTTTGATAAAAATAAATAAATTTTTGATTCGTATTCTTAATATTTGACAATATATTTCCCTAATTTATTAGCGAAAAAAACAAATTATATTATAAAAACAATGTTCATTAGAATTATAATTCAAAATCATTATTTTTTAGATGAATAGATTTTTTTATAAATTTATTATTTAATGTTACTTAATGTATTTAAATTGTATATAATATAAATATTAATTTAATAAAATTAATAATAGACTCATTACTAAAAACAAATCTCAAAATGTTTTCCGATGGACAGCTCTTTGTCCCTCTTCATCAAACTCTTTACGTGAGACCCACATGCGTTTGAAAGTGTCGAGACTGGCGAGGATTGAGCCGCCAATCCATGTCGAGTATAGCCGTTCCTGAGGCGCACTAATTCGTATCTTAAGGTCTTTTGGGGCCATTTTTCTCACTTCATTGAGCAGACGATCACCGAAACCTTTGAATAAAGTACTTCCACCGCTTAACACAATATTTTGATAAAACACTTTTCTGAGATCTAAATCGGATTTCTGTATACTATAAACCAAAACTTCGTGAACGCCTTCAAACTCGTAACCGATAAGATCGGGTCGAAACAGTATTTCTGGTGCTCTCATCCGTGGACCGGCACTTATATCAACATTGCTGCCATCGGGTAATACATAAGATGTCTTTTCAATGTCTCCGCCACCACTTGACGAGTGGTCATCAAGTGCTCGCTGAGGGTTTGCTGTGAAGTAACATATTTTTTCTTTAATACTTTTTACGACTTCAAACTCTGCCGTCGTATTAAATATTAGGCCTTCTTTTCGTAATAAAAGTTTCAAATAACGGGTCACATCTCTGCCGGCAATATCTGACCGGACTATAGACAACGGGAGAGCAAAACCTTCATAAATTGGTACGGCATGTGTCACACCGTCACCCGAGTCGAGAACAACACCAGTTGTCCGACCGGTTGCATACAGACTAAGCACTGCTTGCATTGAGATGAAGAGCGCCGGAACATTGAATGTCTCGAAGAATATTTCAGCCGCTTTTTCACGATTTCGTCGCGGATTTAATGGCGCCTCTGATATAGACACACAAAAATTAATACCGATATTAATATCACAACATATTAAGTATTAGTGTGGGAACAGACCTGTTAGCAAAACGGGATGTTCTTCAGGGAATGTCTGTAACTGTTCCTTAGAGTAGATATATTGCCAAATCTTCTCCATTTCATTCCAATCCGTGACAATTCCCTTCTCCATCGGATATCTTAATGTAAGTAAACCTCTGTGTTCTTCAGCGCGACGACCTATCCATAGATCAAACAATTATAAGCAAACTATTAGACACCAAACAAGTCATATAACAAATATGGATAACAAACCAATGAAAGTGTCGCCTTCAAGAGCACCGGCCATCACACGCACGTGTTTAGGACGTCCGACCAGATTAGAGAAAATACATTTCGGGATCTGATCGCCGGCGAAACCGGCTTTAATTACACCTAAAAACATGAGATGAAAAATTAATTTGTTAAATACATCTGAGGTAATACAGTGACACACATACCCGACCCGTTGTCGATCACCACCGGCTGATTGACCATTACATCCAAATCCATAATTACTGATTAGTTATGTCTGCAAAAAATGATTGACAATCATATGATATGTTAAATACATTTTATTAATCACTAAATATGTCCACAATTTTCGTGAGATATCACTCCTATGTCTCACTCATTATAATGAGTGACAAACAAATACTTACCAATACTTTCAATGATAGCTCTATAATGTTGTCAATAATATACTTAACATTTGACACAAACTTAATGTTTGTTTATATTTATATCCAGAAAATTGTTTACAAAACTATAGATTATATTATTATTATTATTATTATTGAATATACGGTATAAACGACTTTACATTCAAAAATCAATTCAATTATAAATCAGTCAAACATTTCAATTGAAATCAACAATAAATCAGTTCACAAATAACGTATATATTGTGTCAGTAATATAAACAGTAAATTGTTTGTCAAATACTATAATTAAAGTAAATATACATTTTGTCCCCCATTTTCTTAGACATACTCTTACTTTAATTTTTTAGACAACCCTTTCTATAATATATAACGTTATTTTTGTTACTCGACTTCAATTAGATATAACTTTATTTTAATTGATTTTAATTTATAAATTAAATTTGTTTTATTTTAATATGAATTATAATAATAATAAAATAATAGACAAAATATATGTTTTTTTTAAAAAATCTATTATAAAAAATATTAAATTAAAGCATTTATTTGCTTATCGGCTGTCAATTGAATGACACATTAGATTCCAATATTAATAATACATATATTGAGTACAGTTTGTCGTCACTAATGTATTATATATTATATTAACACTAAATGTTTGTCAATATTATGTTTGTTTGTTATGTTATGGCAATCGAGTGATTGTTTCGTAAACAATGTATTAATAATAATAATAATAATAAATGTTTGGATAAATGACGACCCGATCGGACAGTTTGGTCGACCACTTGAGTGCTGGTCATGAAGTGTTTGTCCAACAATTGTGTCAAATATAAACATTACTTAATATAATAACTGAAAGCCAATTGAAAATCAATACTTAATTGCAATTCATATTAATGTATAAAAAATGATAAAATTATTTGTCAACAAAAATGTCGTGAATTTATAGTGCAATACAATTGTGACGACAATTGGGAGCCGACGGGCCATATGATGGACGACTTGACAGTACCATTGGTTATGGTTGCGGCCACTGTATCGCTCGTAGCGTCACTTATGGTCTGCATTTGTCGCGACAAACCAAAGACAACATCGGCGCTAACTAATGGCCACAATTTGTTACCACTTAACTCCATTCGGTCCACCGATTTGGCCAACAATCCCGAACTAATCCGATACAATGGAGGCACATGTATGGCCACTGATGATGTTGACAGCCATTTGCGACATAATCAAAGAGCTCTTCCCGATATACCACTGGCCGCTAACTCATTACTACACATACCTAACAATGAGGTGAATCGCGAAACTCTAGACACTATTGATGGCAAACACGCAGAGCTAAAGAGTCGGTCAACTAAAGCAAGAGCTCCACCGCCACCAACACATCATCGGGTTGTTTCATCTCCATTAGTGGCCACTGACGATGATTTGCATCATTCGTACGCCAGAATCAAAGACAATGCAATCATCGACTCGTCAGAGAATGAAACGGATGACTACTCAGACTCACAGTTTTATTCAGCTGTCGTTACACACAATAGTGACCACTCGTGTCCACCGGTGCCCACCAAACGGTTTACGAATGATCACAACAATGACATTAATTATATTTCTTCAAATCCTTCGACATCGCGAGCCGGACAAGACATGCAATATATGGGTTCACCAGTTCTTCATCGTCTACACCATCTTAATGAAGAGCAATTTCCTCATCTACTTGTTGATGAAAATCCTATGGATATATCAAAAAGTGAGATCTCATACAATACTATTTCAGTTCGGGAACCGTTAGCTAAAGTGTTAGCCGAAAGGGCTAATTCTGAGCATCACTACAATGAAGTAGAAGAGGAAAGAGTTTCGTCGTTTTATGAAGAAATCGCTGGTTCAACAGCCTCTTCAGTCACTTACTCTAAGATTGGAGACAATATAATATTGAGTGATAATTCTTCGCATAAAAATTTAGGACAAAAACTGCCAAATATAACAAATGGTGTACCAATTGGTCACTTATATCCATTGGAAGCATCGACATCGAGTTCTACTCAACAGTCATTTACTAATATTACTCCTAATTGTGATTTACGTTTAACTAACAATTATCCAAAAGACTTGTACTCATCAGTTGACAAAAAAATGAAATCAAAACGAAATAATAGACAAACAATTCATTGTATACCCGATTCAGATAATGAATTTGACAATTTGTATGCAAAGGTACAAAAACACACCAATAATATGCCAAAAGAGTCTAATTTTTATCCACATCCGAGACCATCGAGTGTTAGTGATGTCGACCCAATGCTATTGTCAGATAATGGCATTCCTCCACCACTCCCACCACCACTTAAGTCATTTCACTCTACAAGTCAGTCAAGAAGTTCGCGAACCATCTCTTTATATGACTCATCAAATTCTGCCACAAACTCTCATACGGGTTCACATCAGAGAAGATATTCCTCTGGTACTCAATCAATAAACACAACTGATTGGCATAATAGAGATGTAGGTAGAGATATGAACACCGATTACTTTACATATGGAGCTGTTGGTGGTAATGAAGTTGAATTAGAGAGCGATCCCGGATATGAAGTCATACAACGAAAGAAAACCAATACCACAACATTTGGCGCTCCAAACACAATGGTTCCAATGGCCATCACTCATGTTAATGGAATCAATTCTCCATCAGATCCAGGATATGAAGCAATCCGTTACGATGAGTCTGATAACGATCCTAATTATGAAGTGATCGTCAAAAAAGTCAATACAAACTCACAGACCGTTAATATATCTGATCCGGGATATGAAGTGATTATTAAAAAAGAATCACAAATTACACCAAAAACTCATTCGCCTTGTTTTGAGTACAATATTAACAGAAATTTAAGTGATGTGTCCTCTGAACCGGGATATGAGAGAATCAGGTATACGAAGAGATCAGTCGATCAAATAGAGTCCGAACCAAACTATGCTTCCATTATGAAGAATGAGGACTTGTATGCACAGGAAGAAGAGGATGAGACCATTAGTGAGCGATTATGACTCAAATGACTCACAAATATATGTATAAAACAAAGATTTTATATTATAATATAAATTATATATAAATATATATAATCTGTTTAAACACTTAAGTTTTATCAAACTTTAAAAATAGCTTTTAAAGCGTTTAAATTTATAATTTGTTTTCTATTAGCATTCATTAATGATTTAATATTTATTAACTTATTATTGTATTAATTATGTGTCATTCAATAATTTTTTGCTTAAGCTTTTAATACTTATTATTATTTTAAGAAATTCAAGTCAAATCTCACATTTAAAAAAATATTAAAACTGTTAAACTTAATTGAAATACTACTTTTGTAACTAAATTATGTAAATATACAGTATATTATTAAATATATATTTTCTGTGAAAAATTTTAATCAAAAAAAAACTTGAAATTAAGTGGTTGTTTATATACTATATTTACAGTATTTTATTTCGTGCCATAAAATTCTACTTTTATTTAATATTTTGAACTATACTTTAATTGTTAATCTTTACATAATATAAACAATTTTTGTTTGTTTGTATATTTTTTATCGATAAATCAACAAAACTTATTATTGACTCAAAAAGTATTTCATTAAAATAAAACCTTTGTTTTTTTGTAAATTTATTTGTTTCCATATATTTTTCACTTTAAATCGATAGATTATAAATGAATTTAAAATATATTATAAAATATGAGATTTTTTAATTAAAAAATAATAAATAAAAAATAATGACTAAAATGAATGTAAAATTTGTTATTTCTTTTTCTTTCCTAAAACTTTCATCAAATTCTTTGACATATAATATGGCTTTTCATGTGAGCCATCGTTGCGCTCACAGTCCTCAAGAAAACATAAAAACAGTGTATCGACAGCCATACTGTAGACACTGAAAAAGCTACTGGCGATTAGGTATGTGCCAAATGTTATCACCTAAAAGTATTCAATATGTTTAGTACATCATATGTTAATATATAACAATTGTATTATACTGTAMTATACTGTACATACAACTATAGGAACCCAATAATAATTGAGAGTCGGTATGTCTAAAAACTCTAGTTTGTGGCTAAAAGCGTAAAACGATAGGATAGCCATACTTGATGTGACAGTTAGTTTGCCAATAATTAGTAACAAATCAGTTACTTTGTCCAAAACCGTGGCTCTAATAATAGTGAAATAAATAAATAAAAGTTTGTTAATTATTGAACAGTTGATGGGATCAGTTGGGTGACAGACCGGGTAGCGTTTCTCAAGATTAAAAGGAATCCGTCTTTAGCTGAAGTACAAAACCCATTGCCGTAAACAGCAATCATTATATAAGCGTTTTTATTAATATATTTCATAAATATCTCCAATAACCAGAACCAACACCGACAACAGCTTTTTGATAATAAATTATTTAAATAACATTATAATTAACGACATATAAGTCACACAAAAAATTAAAAACAAAATGTATACCACATCACAACTTTTACAAAGCAATTGTCCGCATATTTCTTGCATTTTTCATTGATATATTCAATAATAATTCTAATGAATCTTATTGTTGCTATAAGTAGTGAACCCAATGCAACGGAACCGGTATGATATCTGAATTGAATAAATACAATGTATTATAATTAGCTGTTTGTGAAAATAATAAGATTATTTAAAATTATAATAATATAAATAATAATAATAATAATAATAATAATAATAATACCGAAAACAACGATAAAGTCCTCCAAATACAGCAAAAAAGGGAACGCCCTGTGGTTTCTTAAAAACCCAATAATATGAGGCAAAGGCACCGGCAAGACTTACCTGACCTATCAATCAGATAATTGTATTAATTTCAATAAATAATTTTTTTAAACAAAATTCCTATAAAATAATTAAAATATAAATGAAAAAGACATACCAACACCAATAACAAAGAATAAACCCCAAAGCAGACCAAACAAGTTGTATAAATGAGCCGCAAATATGACATTACTTTCAAAGTATTGAATAAATACACAACTTTGAGGATCAGAATCTAATATCAGCTGTATTTTTCAATAAATTAAAATTTACATTTCAATCGTTTTTTTAAATAAACAAATTCATACATTTGGATGACAATCCTGACCAGTCTTTAAGTTCTTATATTGGGGACGGGCTGAGGAGGCTATCAATATAGCAACGGTCGCCCAATAAGATATTACAATCAATTGCATCAAATAAGGTATGACTGGAAAGAAAAGCGATGACTTCACACATGAGACAGCTCTGAGATTTGATTAAAAGTTAGCATTTTTTAAAAACAATTGACTGTAAATGACTCGCACATACCTACTCGCCTCCACTATCAGAGCTATGGCTAACTTAATTCGTTTTCGAAGAAATAATAGGACAAGGATTAAGATGAATAATACAATGGCACAGATTATGCTAAACGCAAACCAAGTGTCCCGATTGGCCAGATATGAGTCTAAATTGTTGTCCATTGACTTTCGGAAATCATAGTTTACTGACTTCTTAGATGAGACATTGACCAGAGGTTCAGCAGTTGTTTCTGATGACAGTGTAGTGTAACGATTGACGGCATAATAGAGACCACAAGAGTTGAGAACAATTACGGCAAGAATTGAAAACCAAATCATTAAATGTGCGAACCATTGCATACATACTATCCATAAAAACGATATTAACATCGCTAATCCAAAACCACTATTATGTAATAATGATAATAATGATTATTAATTTTAAAAAATACAAATAATTTTTATTACATAATAATCCAACTAAAAGTTTGTCTTAAATCCTGTATTATTTTGTAGCCAACTTGTTGAGCATTTAAAAGTAGTACAATAGCTCTAAAAAATAGTTAAATATAATTTATATATATAACATAATTTTTTAATTAGTTAATATAATATTATTACTGATTTGTGTCTTTAATTTTTTTCAAATCAATTGCCGTATTAGTGTTGTCCATCAAATTGCCGCCACTAGTCATCTCATCTGTCAGAATCTGACCACTCATTGTCAGTAATGATGGTATACACCGACCGGCAAACGGTTCACTCTTGAAGTAAATACCGGCGCATTTGTCATCATTTATCAATTGCTTAAAGTTTTCATTTGTTGCCGTTATATTGTATTTACATATAATTAAACTTTTGTATCTCTCATCTAATCTATTTAATTGGTATAATGAAAATGTTTGTGTCGGACATTGCGATACACAAACCTATGTTTTTTTTGTTGTTAATAAAAATAAAATAAAAATCTATTTAATTATATTATTAATATATTTTTTCTTGTATTTATTAAAAAACAAAAAATACCTGGGGTGTATCGCATCGATCAAAAATTTTATGGTTTAAATTTTTGGCACATTTGAGCAAATTGAAGAAAAATAAATAAGGCCTATCACTGTATAGGAATTTAAATATATAGCTTTATATTAATAACTAAATTAAAAAATATTTAACATTTACTTAAATATATATATATATATTTACTGATATTGGCCGCGACCGCAAATATCGCCGTACGAATCGGTCGGATATATCAATTTCTCGGGATTTCCATTAGAATACCCTATTTTTTATAAGAAATCAACAATTGATTAAACATAATTAAAATATTACAATAGTTAATATCAATAATAATAATTGTATTATAGTATACAATTACAATTATAGTATATTATAGTATAATAATTATACCAATGAATGCAATGACAATCCAACCAGAGATGAATGCAATAAAAATGATAAGAAAGAAGATATCAGTACAGCTTCTCTTATCTGTCGGACCATTAAATTTGGGATCGTATGTAAAGGCGTCACCTTTTTTATCAATAAATTACTATTATATTATATCTACTGTTTTTTGTCTATATTTTTTTAATCAATTTTTTCATTTATGATTAATATAACTGTAATAACTTATATCTGATAAACCATTAATATAAGAAATTATGTATATTATGTTTATATACTGTATTAATGCTTATAAATTATTTTATCGTATAAACTCTTTTATATAATAATTTTTTTTGTATTTCCTATTATTTAATTAATTCAAATACCATATGAATAATTCACCAAAAAAAACTAACTAATAGTACTGTATATTCAATATACTACTGTACTGTATATCTGATAAAAGTGGACTAAAATTAACACCCGATATGTAACTAAATAAGGAAATGTTTCCTATATTTGACATAATATGCAAAACACATTTTTGCTTTAATAATATTTTTAATGATATTTGTTTGCAAATAAATATTTATTCAAATATCAGTATATATAATTTTCAGTATATTTTTCTATTATTGTTTCGTTTTCTTAATATAAACTTTTTTACTTTATTATATTTATATAACTCTACAAAATGTAAATTAAAAATATTTAGATTTTTACAATAATTTAAATAAATTATGTAAAACAATAGTATTTGTTGCTATGGTTCATTTTACTTTTAATACTATTATAATAAAACAATATTTTAATCTAGCAAAATACATATTGTATAAATAATAGTTGTATATAAATAAACAATTATATGTAAATTTAATGTTTCATTGAAAAAATAGACATAAACTTGTTTTGTTGTCAATTAATAGAATTTAATACACATTTGTTTATCTAACACATAATCAATAACATTTCAATATACGGTATTAACAATAATATAAGTTTCTACTGTATATTATTCAATAGATTCAAATATAACACATACAGGCTTTTTGATTGACATTGTATGTCCAGGATCAAAAGTTATATATAATAAACATGGTAAGTTTAATATTTATATTAATTATATATAAATAAAGACTACGCTTTGATGTGTTTGACTACAATTTTAATTTCAATAAATATTTCTTATGATAAAAAACAAATGGAAAAGTTAATTATAAGATAATAATAAAAATTACACAATTAGGCAAAAAACAAAACAATATTATATTACATGTCTATATATCATATATCATTAATTTAGCTAATAATTTGTGTATATTTTTAGTAATATTTAAAATATTAAATAAAAAATATATTCTTTAAATTATAAGTTGAAAACATAATTATTAAATACTTTATTTAAAGTTTAATAAATTTATTAATGGAAACAATTTCATGTTATAATAATTTAATAAAGTCTAAGTTTTTGTTAATACATCAAATTATTTAGTTATTTATTTTTTAATGTTATTTAATACATGTAATAGTTATCTGTCCCTGAATTTCAGTTTCTTTAATTATATACTATAATTTAATGATGAAATTAAAAAAAAAAAACAAAATTCAATGCATTATAAAGTTATAAACAATTAATATAAATATAAAAGAAAAACTAGAAATAGAAAGTCTATTAAATGAATAATAAATTGACACACATTTAAGTAATGAATAAAATGAGTTGTTTTTATTTTCAAACATTTAGAGATGAATATTAACTATCAAACGTTTTGTGGCAATGAAATATAGTACATAAAACTGTTAAATTATTATAAACTAATATATAATATTATCTAATATTGTATTTCAATAAAATTTAGGTTATATAGAGTAATACAGTACATGTACTGGCTTATATTATATTAACGTTTACACTAAATTATACATTATATACAGCATTTAAATATAAAAATTAGTTTACTGTATGCAATGCAGTACTGTTTAATACTGTATCATATATTTCATTACAAATTGCAAGACATTTAAAATAGTTTTAATAACTTATTGATTGATTAATTAATTAATTTTATTGATACAATTATTTATAGATTTTTATTCAATTTTAATGACAAATTTTGAAATAAATCATTTTATATTTGTTTATTTTAATTTCAAATAGTAATTGTAATTTTTTAAAATATGATCATTTCTATAATACTATTAATTTAAGTCCTAATTATTCATTTATTACATTTACTTACATTTTAAACATAATTTTAATTTTAAAATAGTTGTTAATTTTTTAAATATAATAATTTGAAATTTATAAAATTAATTAAAATTAATTACATTAAACTTAACATTAAATTTTTATAAGACTTACCAAAATTGCCTTTTGTTTGATTAGTATCATTAATACGATTATTTTTTGGCATATTTTAAATGATAAACAATTGATTTCAATGATTACTTCCGCTATCTATGATAACTAACCACTCATTGAATCCGACAATACATACAATGCTATAAAATAAACAGTTTTTGTTTCAAACAAATTGATTTCAATAAACTTTGCTTTTCTAGCAAAAAAAAATTGATAAAATATTTTTTAGATGTGAAATACAAATCATATATTACTAAATAAATTATTTATTTAAATAACAAAATATTAATAGTATATTAAATATAAGATGATATTAATATCACATAAAAACTTAATTATTTCACATATTAATGAAAATAGTCAAAAACAAACTAAACTTTGTATATAATGAATTGAAAACTAATTTTAAAAAATAACTTTTACAGTATTTCATGTGAATATATCTGATTACTTGTATACAGTAATACAGTATTAATATATGGCATTGAATGTCAATATTGATAAAACAGATGAATATATAGACACCCAAACAATAAAGTTTTAGATTTGTTTTAAAAAACTCAAAATTACTGCTAAAGGACTCAACTCATTCATGAAATAATAATATATTGTATAGTAATTGAATTGAATGAACATAAAAGTTTGTAATCATTTTTTTTAAAGGACTTTCCAGTAATTTGAAAATTCAATTAACACACAGAAAGTTGTTTTCAGTTATTTTTTGACACAACCAATACAACAGGTCTATTCATATGTATAACAAGTAGTTTATTATTACTATATTAACATTAATTATTAAAGTGTGAATAATATTGTATATGTTTTTTATATTTATATAATCACAATAAATAAATATATATAGAAATATTATATATCGCAAACCGTTGAATACATGCGCATAATATTGAATATAAAAAACTTTTTTTTTGTTACTCAGAAATGAAAAAATTACTATAAATATTAAATGTTTATATAATTATATAATGAATTAAATAACTAAAAAAACATTTACTATTAATGAATTATAATCATTAATATACTGGTAGTGGATATCTACTAAACTTTATACAGTATAGTACATCATTAGCATTGATATCAATAATTCAAAAAATCATTACAAATTAATATGATAGCTCTAATTAATTTTAATGATATTATATTTAAATAACTGCTTGAATTTTAAACACATTATTGAAGTTTATTACTATTTTAATTATATCAAACAATAAACTAAACTAAAATAAGACATATAATAAAGGGTGAACTTTAAAGTACATTAAGTTGTATATTAAAACGTCAAACTTGTGAACCACGACATCGTGTCTTAAAATAACTTAATTTAAATGCAAACACAAAATGTTTTTAATTGAGTGTCAAATTTTATTTTGGTATCACTTATATGTAAAAAAATGATAACAATGTATATCTGATTAAAATAATTATAAATATATTTTAATGTTTAATAATATTTAATATATTATTTTTTTAAAAATGTAATTCTAATAATTTAATGTTATAACAATTTTTTAAATATTTATTTCAAAAAAAATTTATTTTTGTTATTCAATCTTTTTAATTATTGTTATTAATATATTTTTAACTAAAAACTAAGATTATAACTATTATTATTATTATTATATTATATTATTATTATATAATTATTATTAATATATACTAATATATATATATATATAAAGAAACTTGTTTAGTTTCATTTGTAAAAAAATTAATTAACATTTTTTTTATTAATTAAATTAAAATATTTTTACACTGTTTTAATCATACTGTATATCAAATAGTTATTATACGGTTTACTGTATTTTAAATAAAATGTTTAGTATTTATAAATAATATATTATAATATAAAGTAACGTTATATACGAATATGTGTTTGGATAGAGTGTGTGACAGACATGTGTTGATTAAAATAATTAATGAAAACATTTAATAATTATTTAAAACGTGTTTTTGTTTTATTGATTTGTTTTGTTTGAATTGCAATTAAAATCAACAATAATATGGATTCAAACAAATCGGTCGACAATTATATGAATGTATTCAACGAATCGATCGATAAATTCAATGAATTTTGCGCTCAAAACGACTCGTTTTTAACGTAAGTTTTGATTTTTTAAAAAAATAATTAAATTATTTTCCGGTAATTAAAAAAAGTTTTAAAATTTGATTTCATTTACAATTTGACGACTCTTTAGAAAGGATTCACAAAAATCGCAACAATTTATTGATTTAACGAAAGTATTGTTTGATTTAAACAAACGTCTGCTGAAAGACAATCACTTGAAGACTCGTGAGTTGAATGTCAAGCAATCGTTGGATCAGTTGTTCACCAAAGACTTCGACAGCGAACAGATTTGGCAACAAATTGAACTTCAAAATGAACCGATACTTAATCGACTGGTCAAACAAGTGGCTAAAGTGACGGTCAGTTCCCGAACCGGTGGACTGACATTCTTTGTCGACACACAGACTGATGATAAGCCAATTGATGTCAATGTCAACAATGGTACTAATGATGAAAGCTTTGATGCAATTGTCGACGATAAGCATTTGTTTACCGATGAATCTGATGACGAATCAGATAAAAATGAAGTTTCCGATGAGGATAACGATGCGACAGCTATTGACAATCACAAGTCAACTATAGTTGCGAAGAAATCGGCGCCAAAGTCTATAGTCGACGACAAGTTCTTTAAGTTATATGAATTGGAAGAGTTCTTAAATAAAGAAGATATGAAAGAGAGTCTAAAAGATAACAATAATAAGGAAGTGATGAGTGAAGAGGAGAACAGTGATGACGAAGATATCGATTATTTCAATGATTCAGATAATGAAAAGGAAGAAGAAGAACTTGGAGGCAAAGATGCGATGTTTTCTGACTTTTTTGATGCACCACTTAATGACAAAAAAGATGAAAACAGTAGAGAACATGATATGGATGAAGAAGAAGAAGATAACGAAGACGAAGAAATGAGTGGTGAAGAGTTTGATACTCGAGATATTGATCCGAAAGATCTTAAAGCTTTTAATGATAAACCAGTGGATATAACTCTTGATGAAAGTGATAGCAGCGATGGTGAAGATCAACCGTACAAACAAAACAATGAAAATGATAGTAAATCAGAATTTGAGAGATTTCAACAATCTTTAAGTGATAAGATTGACAAACATCAGAGAATAAATATGATGGAAAAGTCGTGGCAAATGAAGGGAGAAATCTCAGCCGACAAACGTCCAGAAAATAGTTTACTTGAAGAACATTTACATTTCGATCAAACAACAAGACCTATGCCATTGATAACTGAAGAGACGACCACTAAATTAGAAGATATTGTAAAACAACGAATCAAAGACAATGCTTTTGATGATGTTATGCGCAAAACGAAACCAAAACAGACACCATTTGAATACCGACGAAGAATAACAATGGAATCTGAAAAAAGTAAACAGAGTTTATCTCAAGTATATGAAAACGAGTACTTAAAGCAAACTCAAAAAGATAAAGAAGAACAAGAAAATCCTGATCACAAAGAAATAAGGAAATGGATGCGAAACCTCTTCGTTAAATTGGACGCACTCTCTAACTTCCACTTCACTCCACGTCCCGTTAAGCCGGAGGTGAAAATTATTAACAATTTGCCGGCCATTACTGTTGAAGAGCCGACACCAATAACCGTCAGTGAAGTCTCTCTATTAGCGCCACAAGAAGTATTCAATAATCAGAAACGGGAATTGCAGTCAAAAGATGAGAAGTCTGTAACAGACAGAAAACGTGACCGAAGACACAAAAAGACTACTCAACACAAAAAAGCTAAATATAATGAAAGCAAACAAAATGGACTCAAAAGTACATCAAAAGTGAAGATAAGTGATAAATCTGAAGACAGTAAAGCATTGAGTTCTTCAAAAAAGTTTTTCGAGAGATTACAGGAAAAGACAAACAAACAAATCAACAATAAAATGAATTTCGAGAAAAATAAATCTAAAAATATTATCAGAGAATCCAATAAATTAAAGTTATAATTATTATGTCTTTATTTACTTTTTTATAAAATAAATTATTACAAATAAAATTTAATTGATATTTTTAACTTTTGCGTAATTTCTTTGCCCTTTTATTTGAACCTATTTTAGCCCCCTTTCGAGCGGCGTTTACCAAATTCTTGAAATGTCCGCTCATTTTGGCTGTCTTTCGCTTATTAAGCACCTGTCGATCAAGTGGTATATAAGCAAAGGGATCGGGCTTTCCTTTACGCTTCATATCTCCCTTTGCTTTGTTTGATTTATATTCCTCTCCCAATTGTCTGGCAATCGGCCGATGAATGCCTTTACCTCCAGCTGTATATTCGGACTTTTTGGTTGATACGGATTTCATACTCTGTTTATTTGATATAATGTCATCGATGTCATCATCATTATCATTCACATCACACTCATCTCCCAATTGTCTCTTAACACCTCTCTTAGGATTATCCAAGTCTTTAATGATAATCTTTCCGTCGGAAGTCATTTCAAAAGCTTGTGATTTCTCTTTAGGTTTAATATTAGGATCTTTATGTATAATATTTTGACTCAACTTATTGCTCAACAAATCGACAATTTCGTTATCATTAGTTTCCTCTTTGATCCACGACTTGCTCTTTCTGGAAACAGTTGTCATTTGGTCGTCATCTTCAGATACTTCGTCAGATGAATCAGCGATTATATCTTCAAACTCTCTATTTGTTCGTTTGCTTTATTTTAAAATATTAATAATTAAAATTTTATATTAATTTTTTTAAATAAATACCTTTTCGATGTCTTAATAGTTTTCTCATCGCTTCCATCTTCACTGGCTTTTACACTCATCTTTCGTTTTCTGTCTTCAAGTTTTCGTATATTTTTAATAACTTTTTTATATTCCTCGGGAATCATCTTTGATATCATCTCATAACTAAATTATTTAGATAAAAATAACCGATAATTATAATTAATTTTAACAAATTAATATAAATTATGTCAATATATTTATAATAATTACCCATATCTTCGAACTAAACGGATAAACATTTCTTTGACTTTAATCCTGAAGTGATTTTTATGTTTGCGATTAATATTTGACAGTCTAGTGACCAACAATTCAAGATAAGCCGACAATTGGTCCGCAGAAGATACCTTAAAGAAGTACTTAACAAAATCAATAGCCGCTTGTATTGTCTGTCGATTTTCTGAATCTAGTTTTGAGATTATAGTCTCAATGATATCACATTCAATGTGTTTCGGTATTTCCGACCGAAATTCATCGTAGAGTCGGGTCAAACACTGGACTACGACTGTCGACGAGTAATCATTTTTATCCAAATATAATAACATTATTTTAATAAATTCGTCGACATTTCCATTGTTTAGTGTTTTACAAGAGTTTGCAATACAACTAATCAAACCAAATGATGCCGTTTTGACTTTTACTGAGTTTATCGTTAAACAGTTTAACACTTTCGGTAATATTTCCAACAATATCTTCTGCCAATCAATTGTATCATTACTTATATTAGATTCAATTAATTGTGTTATTGCTTTCAATACAAAAGCCTTAGATGAGGACAAACACTTGGATAGAGATTCGTTTAAAACATTTAACAAATCATTCAAATTGTTTGAAACAAAATTACGGCAAACATTGACTTCATTTTTACAAATCTCTTCAAGAATACGAAATGCTTTTTTCTGTTCTGTAATCAGTTTATTGTCTTTCAAATACATAACAACTAATTGATTGTAAATTTGTTTAATGTCTTCATCCCTAACATAAGGAACAAATGCTCGAATCAAATCCATTAGTGAATGCTTTAAAAATGTATTATTTTCACAGTTCTGTAATTTTTCGCTTAATTTCAAATATAAGTTAATTATCAGAGAGTTATCGGAAATTGAGAAAAATATTTGAATTATTTCATAAACAGAAAACCGTTGATTTTTTTCATCATTAGATATCTGTTCGTTGGTATAGATATTGAATAGAATCGGTAGGAAATTCTTCGAGAATCGATTCAATTCTTTTAAAACCAATTCGTTGTCAAAATTTTTTGACAAATTCCTAAACGCAGACAATATATATGATCTAATGGCTGGCATTTTAGAGAGACTGTCGCCTAAAATTGGAGCAAATTTTTTGAATGATATTTCAAAATCTGTCGGCTTATTAAAAAATGATGGCAACAGTGACCAGATTTGAGATAATAATATGGAACATGTCTTCGATGTCATCAAATTTCCATCCATTTCAAGTGTTTTGCAAGTTTTATGCAAAGATATTATAATTGGGTAAAAATAGTCGATAAACAGTGATATTTCTGTGTTTCTAATATTATCTCTTAGAATCGGTAATAACCAATTGTGACAAATATCGGTATTGTCATCATTTAAATCCATTGGACATAATTGGATAATATATTTGGGTCCAAATACTAGACAAACGCGACCAATTGTGCGGTCTATTTGACTTGAATAAGCACAGTCATAACTATCACGAATTGCTACCATTTTAATGATAATATTTGTGGTAAAACCGGCAAAATCTTTGTTCAAATAATGGGATATTAATTCAAATATAAGACTATATGCGTTAAAATATTCATATTGTAAGGCCTTTTCAAAACTTAAATAAACTCTTTCTATAATTTGTTTGTCTATCTCTTGAGCAGACAATTCAATACAATCGGAATAAATTTGTTTTAAATTACTTGCAATACATAAGTGAACCTCTTTTGAATCCGATAGTAAACAATCTATTGATATATTAAAAAGTTTAGGCAAATGATTATATGACAGCTTTTTGTCGATTCGGTTCAGATTAAGAAATCCTTGTTTGATGGCCTGAATCCAAGCGCACAACGGCTGCGAGTCATTGATATTTGGCTGATAGTCATAGAGAGCTGATATTAGTTTTGCGTTGAGATCAGCTGTTAGTATCTCTTGATGTGGTTGTGAGACAAACAATATGTAAAATGCTTTAAAAGCTGTCGAAACAATCAAAACATTTCCAAAAGTCATTTGTGTTAATATAGATTCACAACATTTCTTAAGACAAGAGTTCGGCAAAACTGAAAGGATGTCCGTCAACAGTGTCAACACGTATAACATTGTATTGAGATTATCACTAGAATTATCTTCAAGTTTTCTGACACAAAAATCGCCGGTAAGTTTGGCAATTGGGTGACATAATGATGATTTCGATTGATTTGTATTACATTTGAGAATTCTGGCGACCGATCTTTGGGCACATTTTCGGATCCGCGGCTTATTGTGAACAGTAAGCGATAAAATTATCTCAAATATGTGTTTAGTTGAACTCAATTCCCAAACAGCATACTCTTGATGCTCAAGAAGTACGGATATACTGGAAATAAGTGACCTCACAATCAATCCGTTCTCTCCCTTAACATATTTGGCCAAATAATCGACAAATACTTTAGATGTCTCGGAAAACTTGAGTTTAATAACGCTTTGCGGTAATCGTTTGATAACCATCTGAATCAACGTCAAAATGGCTGTCAGTGTCTCGTCGTTATCGGCGCTCTCCAGACATGTCATTAAAATTGCAAAATATTCCGTTTCCGACTCCTGTCCTCCGTTTGATTTAATAGTTTCGGTAACGGCTGCCAACACGGCTAACATCTGCTTATGAATGGCTGACGAAGAGTCAAATCCGTACAACAATTTGTTGAAACTAATATTTGAACAGTTGGACCAAACACTCACAAATGTCTGACCACCAACCGATTCGTGGTCATCATCATCGACCGCCTGATCGGGATTAGGCGCCGATCGATCATCTTTAGGCACTTCTAATCGCAATTTCTGTAATTGACGCAAATTGTGTTGATTGAGGACATCCTCGTCGAGACGAAAGGACTGTCTTGATTGTGATGTTTGTGCACTTGTGGTCAGTGATCCACTTTTGGCCAGAAGCCGAAACTTGTTTGTTGTCGGATTGCTATCACTGGACCCGCCTTTCATCCATCGCTTACCCTTACCTTTCGTCGCTTTGCCCGCTATTCTCATTCTTCAAATGACAACAAAAAATACTCTTAAGACTGAAATCAGACGACAATTATCACCGAAAAGATGTGTTTCATAATCACAACAATCAATGCTTTAAATGCTATTCAATGACAAACATAACACTCATGTGAAACACGTGTTGATTGAACGAGTCGTTCACAAACAACAGTACGATATTAAGTGAGTGAATGACGTAATGATTGAGTTATTGAGTAAACAGTTGTTTGGATTGAAAGTGAATGAAATGATTGAGTGATTGATTGAAATATCAGATGTTTTGTTCACTCATTGTTATCACTGATTGTTGTCTTTGTTGTCGTCAATGATTTAGTCATATGAAGACATTAAGAAACAAATGATCAATACTTTAGATTAGGTGTTAGTTGTGGTCTCAAAACAAATGTCCACTCATTCGTCTTCGGGCGTCACTCAGCATAACGTGACTCAAGTGACCACTGACTCCGGTCTTAACGATTGCCATAAATTCAATTTCATCTATACTTCAGACTTGGATGACGTCTACTTTAGGATTAAATGGTAGTCTCTTTTATTCAAATATCGATGCCTATAGTAATAGTGTTGTTATCATCAAATCAGTGGTACGTTAGAGGGATTGGAAGTGAACGCCAAAGTTGAGGACCATTTGGTGACACAACATCTGTATATAACATGCGATCTCTATTCAAATGGTCACCTCTTGTGTCCGACACGACAGTCACAATACAAACATATGTCCAATCGTTTTGAGTTAGTTTTGTTTTAGTAAAAGCTGAAGATATTTGTTATTATTTGTATTATTAACGTTCTGTTGTTTAATGTATTTGATTGACAGTTGGAATGAATGGCTATTATTTCCTTTGAAACTATCGGACATTCCTCGGGACGCACTCTTAAGCTTTACAATTGTTGACGTTTCAAGCGATGGCAAACCGTATCTTTTGGGTGGAACTGCTATTACTATATTCGGAAAGCACGGGGCGATGAGGAAAGGCATGTATGACCTGAGAGTATGGCTCAGCAATCAAACTGATCTCCAAAATAGTCATCAATTAAATGGAAAGCAAAGCATTTCCGGACAAATGAATAAAATCAATAAAGTATTATAATTATTGTTAACTAAGTTTTAATTATATTTTGTTTTTTAAGTTAAAAAAGAAATACCGATGCGGAGAACTTCCAAGAATTGATTGGTTGGATAGACTGACATTTCTTGAGATCGAGAGATTGGTTCAAACAGAAAAAAAGAATACCAATTATGTCTATCTTTCAATTGAGTTTCCTATTGTCACAGTCAATGGTGTGGATCACTCTGTTGTATATTTCGAAAGGGGAGCTGAAGAAAGTTGTCAGTATAGCTTCATTGAGAATGATTTAGTGATAATACCTGATCCCGAAATGTCAATGGAAAACCTCGTTGAGAACAAACATCATAAACTGTCGCGTAGTATCAGAAGTGGTATTACTGATCGCGATCTTAAACCCAATGCCGGAGTTAGAGATCAATTGAATGCCATAATGTGTTATTCACCGACTAAAGTGTTGTCTAATGAAGAACAGGATTTGTTGTGGAAATTTAGGTTTTATTTGGTTAACCAAAAGAAAGCATTAACTAAATTCTTAAAATCTGTTAATTGGCATTTGAATACCGAAGCTCATCAGGCAATAGAACTGCTCGAAAATTGGCAACCAATTGATATTGAAGACGCTTTAGAGTTATTATCGCCTCATTTTCAATACCCGGCTGTCAGACGATATGCTGTCACCCGATTACATCAGGCGCCCGATGAGGTTTGTGGCAATTGGTTAGTTGAGTTGTCGACTTTTGATTAATAAAACAATGTTTGTTATTAGGAACTGCTTCTCTATTTGCTTCAATTGGTTCAGGCATTGAAATACGAGAATTTCGATGAAATACGACAGGCATATGAAAAAGAGAGAAGAGTCGATCTGTTTGATGATCGAACTCATGAAAGGGAAAGGTATTCAAAAAAAGATTTTATTTAAAAATAATTTATTTTATTGTAATTTATATTTTAAGGAGAGGTAGTACGACATCAACCGGTACAACTGGTCTAACCGATTCTCTTAATGCATTAAAACTTGAAGTTCATTCCAATGAAGCCAATGATAACGAATTAAATAAGAAAGAAGTATTTATTTTTAAATATTGAATGCATTTTTAATTATAATTTCAATTAATTTGTTGTTTATATTAATAGGAAAACTTAGCGACATTCCTGATATCCCGCGCCTGTACTAATGATAACTTAGCCAACTATTTCTTTTGGTATCTAATGGTCGAGTGTGAGGACGGGCAGTATACTGACACTCCTCCTCATACTTATGTAATGACTAATAACAACAACAACACCAATGAGTTAATTCGAGTGAGTGATATGTATGTAATTATGATGAGACGGTTCAGTTTGCGGCTATCGAAGGGAAGTCCTGAGATGAGAGCGCGCCGACAGTTACTTCAAAGACAACAAACGTTTGTCGAGAAATTAGTTCAATTGATGAAAGTTGTGGCCCGAGAGAATGGCAACAGACAGAAAAAGATTGATAGATTGCAAAATCTTTTAGCCGAAGCAGAGATTTTTAAGATTAATTTCACATCATATGATCCATTACCATTACCACTTGATCCAGAGATTAAGATAACTGGAGTCATACCTTTAAAAGCAACTCTATTTAAAAGCGCATTAATGCCGGGAAAACTGGCGTTTTCTACCACAAAAAATACCGAATATTTTACAATTTTCAAACACGGAGATGATCTCAGACAGGATCAGCTCATACTTCAGATGATTACTTTAATGGATAAATTGTTGAGAAGAGAAAACTTAGACTTAAAGCTTACACCGTATAATGTTTTGGCCACAAGTAGTAAACATGGATTCGTACAGTTCATTGACTCGATATCAGTGGCTGAAGTACTGGCAGCTGAGGGCAGTATTCAAAACTATTTCCGTAAACACGCGCCTTCTGATGCTATGTATGGTATCTCTCCTGAAGTAATGGATGCATACGTTAAATCTTGTGGTAATTTGTTGTCTTTATTTTAATTATCGGTATATATATATAATATTAATATGATTTTGTATTTTATTTAAAGCTGGATATTGTGTCATAACATATCTGTTAGGAGTAGGAGATCGACATTTGGATAACCTTTTACTTACCCGAACGGGAAAGTTATTTCACATTGATTTTGGGTTTATTTTAGGAAGAGATCCCAAACCAATGCCGCCTCCCATGAAATTAAGTCGAGAAATGGTTGACGCCATGGGAGGCATTAATTCCGAACACTACCAGTCTTTCCGAAAGCTATGTTATACAGCATTCTTGCATTTGAGACGACACGCAAATCTGATACTGAATTTGTTTTCACTTATGATCGACGCAAGTGTTCCCGACATTGCACTCGAACCCGACAAGACTGTCAAGAAAGTTCAGGACAAGTTTAAGTTCAATCTTAACGATGAAGAAGCGGTCCGTTATATGCAAGACCTCATCGATTACAGTGTCAAAGCTTTCTTTCCAGTTATGGTCGAACATATCCATAAAATGGCTCAGGTATTCAATACATATTTTCAATCTATTATTAGAAATATTAATCAAATGTTGTTTATTTCATATAGTTTTGGCGGAACTGATCATCGATGGCCTTATAATTCTTGAGTGCCTTACTTAAAAAAGCTCAATAATTACATATTTAATGAAAATTTTGATATAATTGGCATTTAGTTTATATTTGAGTCAATTTTTAGTTAATAAAATATTTTTGACATTTACCGAAATTAATTATATATACAGTATATAATAATAATTTTATTTATTATAATGTGTCCTATGGCTAGTCATCCAAAGTTTTAAACAGATTATACTGTATATATATAAACTGGCCTCTAATTTATTGTTTTATTGTATATAAATCAAATAATCTTATAAAATATTTAACTAAAAATTGTTTTTTTATTAAAATAATTATGATATAATTAACTAGATTTGAAGTATATTTATTATATAAAAAATATCATATATTTTTATTATTGTGAAGATTTGTATGTAACTATACGAGATAAATTGTATAAATACACAATTTGATAAAATAAAGTTTTTATTTTAATGTTTATTTTTATGGTTATCACTAAATATTTCTATAAATTGAGTTTTAATCCAAATTTTAATTTTTATTAACTATCATTTTTCCCCTACAATATGGACATTGCACTTAAAGACCCAAAACAACACATAATAGTTATGTTAACAAAATATTTTCTTAATTTTTTTTTTGATAAAATGTTGAACTCGTTTTTAAAAATAGCAAACAAGTCTTGAATATTACGGAATTTCGATAAAATTGTTTTTTTTAATAGAAATATTAAAACATTTTTTTCAGTTTGTTTTTTGTCATTCAATAAATCTTTTCAATTTATATTCAATAGTCTATATACACAGTATATGACAAACAATACACTATATTAATAATAGCGTTAATATCATAGAAATTTATAGATAAACACAAAACAAATGAAAATATTATTTTCACATCAATTTTGATGATGAAAAACAATCGATTGGGTTTATAGTCCAGCGATAAAAAAATTATTTGTAAATTAAGCCAAAAAGTTGTCACATTGTAAACATTATCAATCATTTTCATATCAAATATAACTTTTGTTTTTATCATTGTTAACAACTATTACAGTAAAAATTGTCACAAACTTTTTTGAGCAAAAATAATTAAATTCAAATCTAAAGTATACTACAATTTGTGTCTAACATAAAACTTAAATGTATTGTACATTAATGTAATCGATTTGTTTGCAATTATCATAATGTATATATAGTAATATATAATATAAATAGCAATTCTAGAGATTGAAAATTATATTATAATATGAATATAATAATGAATGAAAATGTAATTTAAGACATTTGTTTGGTATTTATATGTTTTATATATAATATTAATATATATGAAAAGTGAACTTTTCTATTGTCCATACATTGAATTGTTGCGATCGAAACATTATATCTTGAATTTATAGCTCAGTTGTAATTTTGGTGACAATAAATGGTTAAATAGCTTATAATATACCACATCGTGTTTTAGGGCATTAGTAGTGTCAATGCATAGAAAGAAAGGACAGTCAGTTATAGAGAGCATTGGGAAGCCATCTGAACATATATGTAGTGATCGTATTACACGTATTGTCTCCAAACTCTATCTGTATCTCTCATCTCAACATTACATACAGATATAAGTCCCCATTGAATGTTGAAATACATGATATATGCATATATGGTATGACCGGTGAACAATAGTTTTGCAACAATTTTGATGCTTTATGACCAAACAATACATGAAATGATGTATTAAATACAGTAAAATTGCAATACTGACAGCACGGGTGGCTCTTTGGTTGACAATCATTGCACAAAACAACTACAAGATTATCGACTAAATGCCAAAATGAGAGGAACAGGATTTAGATATATGTTTAGATGGGATGTGTTGGTGTATATGTATGTATCGGTCACTAGTAGGTCGGTGTTAATGCCTCATATAGATTATGAATGATAGCTATCAATAAACTATTGATAATATTGTCGATAATATGGCAAATCTGGTGCAAAGCCTCACTAGTAAATCCTTTGCCACCATCTGTTATAATGTACTCTTATTTTTCACTAATTTTATACCATTTTTCTTCAACAAAAATCGTTTATTTTTCTAACATATCTCTCTCTCTCTCTCTCTTTCTCTCTCTCTTTCTTTCTTTCTTTCTTTCTTTCTCTTAACTGACATCTTTGTAAACTATAGATATAAATGTAAACTTTAACTTAAATATTGTTTTTAAAAAGCAAACTAAAAGACATCAAAATGAAAATTGTTTTAAAAGGATATTCAATGCAATGATGTCAGCTATGAATGGCATTCATAACTCTTGAGCCATATATTAGTCGACAATATATATATAGTATAATAGTGTATATACTTTGATAGTGTACTGTATATACTGTACTTATATATCATTGTATAAGTGAGTGAATGGAGAGAGAGTTGAGAGTCTGTCTACAGTTATACGGATGTATAGCTAGTGTTGGCATAAAGTGACCCAAAAGTCGAGTCTGACTTTTGCAATGTATTTGAACGGATAGTTTGGTCTTTGAAATAGTAGTAACAAAGACTAACATAACATAACAGTATATACCATAATATTGATCATCATTTTCAGTGGGGCTCCAACTCATTGCTATCACTACTACTACTACTACTACTACTGTATTGCTGTATTTGTCGACATAATTCACTATATAAGGCAACACAACACGTATAACATAGTCTACTATAAAGGCTTTTATCCTGATTACGTTTGTGTTACATTAGCTGCAATCCATGCACCAAACATATACCATCACCACATACACTACCAACTCTCTCTCTCTCTCTCTCTCTCTCTCTCTCTCTCTTTCTCTTAACATAACCCTCACGGGTATGTCATAAGAGAGACACACACAACAAACTCGAACCTATAAAAGCAGTGTATTTAGAGTATAGGCTTTAAACTTAATTTTGATGATTGTTTTTTATTTGGATACAAAAATTCAATTTACTTTTTTTTAGTTTTTTACAATTTATAGTAAAAATTATGTATTATATAATAATAATAGCTTATTGTAAATTATAGTTTTTCTAATTGTTTCAACATGTTTATAGTATTTGATTTAATTTGATACATTTGTATACAATTATTTGTTTAAATGAATATAATTTTCTCTTTTGGCAATAATTATTGATTAAAGTTAATTACTTTAAATGCTAATTTATTAAGAGATTTAGTTGCATATTATGTACTTAATATGAAATCAATAAAATTTGTAAATTCTTTGCAAATAATACTAATTATTGCTAATTAGTTTTATCGTCCAATTAATTATTGAATAATAATAATAATATATTAATATTAATTATATAAATTATAATCTTTAAAAAAATTTTTTGTATTTAATAATATTGAAATTAAATATACTGGTATTAAATATGTTGAATATATATATATATATATATATATATATACTGTATATATAACTTATACTGGCAATTTGTACTTTATATTGAAAATACAAGTAATGAATAACTTATATATCTGTAAATTATATTATATTATACATAATTTATAAATAATCGATTAGATAAATATATAATAGTAACTAATATCCTACATATATACTCTACATTTACAGTATATATATATTTATAATCTACAAGTAGTCAAGTATTTACACGTGTTATTAAAAATTTATTTTTAATATTTGTAAAAATATTTTAAAATGTTTTTAAAAGCAATTTAGATTAAATTGAGAGATTTATATTCAAAGAGTTCAATGTTTGCTTATCGGTAGTCGTTAGTTGTGACCACAAAATGACACAAAAAATGAGTGGCGAAGGGTTGTTGTGTTTATTACCAATTGATTATATAACACATCTCTCATTTTTTTAACTGACTCTTTAAATTGTAAATCAAAGTCGTATTCAAAGTTATGCTACATAAGCGTTATATACCGTCGTCGACCGTATGTGTAGTTTGTGTCAATGTGTGAACAGTGGTCTCGATAGGAATGTCTGTCCCCATATACAGAAGCACACACTCATCCAAATTGGGAGATCCAGTGCCAGTCAGTGACAAACGCATAATGTTTAATAAGGCTTATTTAATTTGTGTTATACACTACTTGTGCTCTCAACTTCATAGGCTTTCCAAACAGTCTGCAAACACATTAAATACATTAATCGTAACTCAACTGATAGGTCGCTCCCGTAATCTGGTCTCTAAATAACCTTATTTTGCATAATCTTTTTAAACACATATAAATTCAGACAATGAATGCAAAAATCTCACTCTCCGTTCAGTTTTGTTGTTATTCTCTGTGTTTATAATAAATAAATATTATATTAGATTAACTTTAGGATAACGGTTCCGCCAAATTCACTGATTGAAACAACAAATCAATGGTTACTCACTTATACAGTACTTTAGTACTACTGTATATCAATTTCAAAGTAATTACTTTTGTGTACAATTGTATTTATTATCAAATACGCAGATATTGATATTACAATCAAATATATCCAATTAATAGAAATATTTTTAAATTAAACAAATATCTAATTAAATGTATTTTGCAATTAAGTTATTATAATTTCTAAAAAATAGTAATATTTATCAAGTTTAGATAAATTAATTTAATCTAGCAATTGTTACAATATTTAAAATGCTATTCTATTCAAATAGAGTCAAAGCAATTTAAAGCTTAAATAAACAATGAATTCAATTTTTGATAATAATAAATGAAAATTATTTTAGATCTAATCTGACAATTGTAGGGATCCGACTGTTTGGACAATAGAGAGGACAGCTATAAATGGTTTGCAGAGAGAGAGAGAGAGAGAGAGAGATGTGCTCCGGTAGTGGTTAGTCAGTTGTTGCTCATTGCTATGCCATAAATTGCAATAAATTAGTTGTCTGTCTATAATATGTAGGACCCGGTGTTCACAAAGGGCGTGTGTCTATGCTTTTGGATTAAGTTTGAGTTAATTTATTCATTAAACACTGAATCCCATTGAATTTCATTTGCAATGCATTTAACGTAACACTTGGGCAGTACGTGATTGTCAGTATTGTATTGACTAACTGTGCCCTTACATAACACACTCATATACTTTACATACAACTTAGCTATCGGTTTGCTATTTATCTGTATTCACAACCAACTCATTCATTA